AAGTGTGATTTCTTGCATTGGTTTTCAATTAGATTGCGGTGAAAATTTAGATAGTAAATTTTATTTTACTTTTTTGCTTATGTGTGGTCATTACCAAAGGATAAGAAGGTCTATTTTTTAACTTTTTTATTATAGAAAGTAATAGTCGAGTAAACTGCTCATTTTTCTTCTCTTTTTACAGTTAAGGTAACACCATGCATAACTGGTCTTAATTATATGTACAAGGGATGTATCGGAAAGTTCCGGGACTAGGTCAAAAAAGAAATGCTGGTTTAACTTACTCAATTTTGGCTGCCGTGTCCTTCAAAATCCTCTTCCTGGGAATGTATACAGTGATCCCTTCATTTTTTATTCTATGTATCAAATGCACCGCGAAAGTAATTTTCCTTAACGCTGTCAAGTGCCGCTTATGATTCCCTTTTGATGTCAGACACTGTTCCAAAACGTCCCTTCAGTTTCATTTTCAAATTTGGAAACAAAGCCAAATCACAGGGGGCTAAGTCCAGTAAGTTGGGAGGATGGGGAACAGTAACCATGTTGTTGTTAGTCACAAACTCTGGTTCTCAGAGACGTGGGTGGGCGCATTGGCATGATGAAGGAGCAGTGCAGCACATGTTCAAATTTTCTTGGCAAAGATTTCTTGGCAAACTCCATAACTGATCGCAACGATGTCTGCAGGCTCATGGATTGTTTGGCGATTGTCTTTATGGATGAGTACTCGAATTTTTCAACATTTTCTGTTGTTTAGCTGGTGCTTGGATGCCCTGAATGTTCGCCATCAACTGACACTTGACCGGCCTTGAAACATAAATGCCATTCAGAAACTGCTGTCTATCTTAAAGAATGCTCTCCAAAATTCTCATAATACATTTAAAGGGTTTAGGTAGCAGATTCACCAAGCTTCACGCAAAACTTGATGCAGACATGGTTGCTTGATTTTACCATCCATCAAAGTCAAAATGAAACATGAAGTTGAAAAGCTCTCATGTAAAAATAACACATGTTCACAGTGCAGTGTCACATGGCAGACTGATGCAATAGGCTTGCGGAAGTGTGACCTTGGCCTCCCCTCTCACATTCTTTCACCGAGGCAGTTACAACAATTATAGGCCGGGAACTTTCTGATACCAACTTGTATTTGTCTTAATAGTTGAAGAGTGCCATGACTTTGCATTTAAAATGGTACTACAAGCTAACGAATGCTGAGAACCACTGTTTTAGTTTGTCAAACAAAGTTTCATTGTCTGTGTTTCCATATAGCAATAATGTAAGGCACAGGTATTAGAAGATGGAAGCCTGTAAGGAGACTGCAGTATGGAACTGAAACTTTGATGTGCTGGAGATATAAATGGTCTTGTTCCTCCTATATCAATAAAAATGTTTCAGAAGCAAAGTTACGTAAGGCTAAAAAAATGTTGTAATCTATCTGAATTTATTTAGGAAGTGAACCATGTGTTCAGAGCCGGGATAGTGCAGTTGTTATAGCTGCTGGCTATGGGCTGGATGGCTGAGGAGTCAGAGTTCGAGTCCTGGTAGAGGCAAAAATGTTCTCTTCTCCATGTCATCTACACCAATTCTGGGGCCCACCCAGCCTCTTATCCAATGGATATTGAGGGACTTCTCCCCAGCAGCCGGAGCGTGAATCTGAACACTTACCTCCAGCTAGTGCCGATGTCAAGAAAATGTGGATCTGTACATACACTTTCATGGCATAGTGCTGAATTAGTTAAGCACTGAGAAAACTTTACCTTTTTAACATGTGTTAGAACATAATGACATAGGTACAGAAAGTGTCCACATAACATTTCGTAGATCATGGCAGTAACTTCAAGAGACAAGCCACGAGGTGAAATAATAAGCATTAGTTGACATAACAAATAGTGTCAGACTGGACACTATATATAGTCACAATAGTCAGATTCATAAAATGACATGTCAGTATGCTCCAAGCAGCAGACACAGGACTAAATTGAAAGATTAATTTAACTTCTGAACTTTTGAATATACTTCAAAGCACTTCATATTTGTGGAAGACAAAGAAGAAAGTGGAACTGGGAGGGAAAGTGATATCCTCAGTTATACTTACTCATACTGTCAGTATTAGTCCCCAATTCCATGAAAATGTTACTTAACTTACCCCATTTAGGATGGAATTCTCAGTGGAACAAGAAAGTAATCTTCTGGTATGAACTGTTATTTCAGCTACTGCTATTGTTTTTTTCCTCTTCTGCGACAAATGGGAGTCCAACCTCGTGCAGCTTGTACTCATGAGTACTTTTACTGTCAGTCCTGTTGATTTGGTATTGGTTGGATTGAAATATTACATTCGATGGATAAAGTATTTTTCAGACTCTATCAGTTTGTTCAGGACTATTTTACTTTTTTCCCCCACTTATGCCTTGAAAAGCGGGGGATGCAGTAGCATAGTTGGTTGAGGCACTATGCTACAAGCCGGAAGGTCCCAGGTTAGAATCCTGATGAGGTGGATTTTTTTTCAATTGACCTAATCCTTCCAGCTGCACTATGACCCTGGGGTCGACTCAGCCTCTAACAGAAATGAGTAGCAGGAATTTTCCTGGGGTTAAAGGGCAGCCGGCACATGAGGCTGATAACCTTACCGCCATCTGTGAGCCAATTGTGTAGAAAATGTGGGACCCTCAACATCTCACAACCCTATGGGCCTCCATGGCCTCTTAAGGGGATACCTTTACTTACTTGCTTTTATGCCTTGACAACCAAACATGAGGTTAAAAATAGTTTTTTTTTTTTCCAAAGAAATAAATTTTACAGAATAGAGATGCCAGACATGGGTCCTTTTTGAAAGGCTGATAAGTCTGAAGGGGGAATGTCCTGAAAGTCCTCTGTTGAAATATTACGTCTCTGAGCTAGAGGAGAGAAGTTACATAAGTCAAAACATTCTGAAAAATAAATTTTGATACTAAAAAGTGAGATGAAAGAGAGAGGTATTACCTCATATTGGGAAGTTATGGTGCCCTAATGCAGAGAGTGAATTAATTTGTTATATATAATTCCATTCTGGTCTAGAAAACCGAAATTAACGGCCATGGGAATTCGTTGCGCTGACCATGCAACACCCTCTATCCACAAAAGTTGGCACTAAACTTTTCCAACAGGCAGCGGTCGCTCAGTCGGTATAGTTCGCTTGTGGACTAAAATCACTTGAGTTTCTTTATATAATTGCAGTATATTTCATACAAGAAAAAATTAAAGAATTGATTTATATTACAACATATTTTTCAGATTGCAGATTGTTTTGTTGCATTCATACCATATATCACAGGAGAAAAAAATTTCAGAATCTGTTCCCCTTTAAACAAATGCCATACCTTATCCATTGATTCACCCCAATGGAGTCAACAGAAGCTTCTGCACAGTATATACAGTCTAGATTTTACCAATTGCTGTATTCACTGTCTGCATCACTGCATAACTCTTAGGCCCACTGTCATCATTAGGCTCTGAAGATAATTTTGGCATGATTTTCTTGTTCTTCTTGGGCCTACTTGTCTAGTGTTTATGAATCTGAGATACAGGAAACATATCTGATTTTCTTCCTGTATTGTAAACTATTGTTTGTTTCTTAATCAGAGATTCTAGCTGCTTCTGTTTCTTGCATTTTGGTGATTCTTCAGTTTATTCTGTGTGATTACCTATGCATCCTCCATTTGTCTTATAAAGCAAACTGCATGTGTACATAGCTGTTCTGAACAAGGTTCTTGGCTGTAATTGGTCTGACGTTTTAAGACAGGGAAATGGGTTTGCGTTTGTAGGACTTCTAAGCTGTAAGAGACAAGAGTATAGAAATAGATTTTGACTGAATTAATTCAGAGGGTAGAGGCAGTAATAATTTTCAGTAGTATAATTCACATTTTACAGTCTCCTGAAAGAGGTGTTACAACGTCAGAGGGTTCAGAAATGTCACTTGGACTATTCTTGAACCAGTTGGCAACAGTTTCAGTGCCATGTTGCTGTGATATAAGCTTCTCAATCCAAAAAATACAAGTATTAACAGTTCTGCTGATGTTATTCTTTGAATGTATTTTGATTGTATTGCGCTTTCAGGCAGTATGTGATGCCATAAGAGACACGTACAGAGGCTGTATTTTTGCTGTGCTTTTTGAGGTCAAGCACAAAGCTGAAACATGACTTTTATTGACATCATTGGTGACAGTTGTGATTAATATCCACCTAGGGCAGAAATGAGGTTTTTGGAAGGTCTTACAGCCAGTCAGTGAAGATATCTATCTGCACCCAAGCTGATGGGTGATGGGCATATATGGTCTCTGGTGGATTGCCCCCCATCAGCTGTGTTTTTATATTTTTGTGGAGAAACATTAGCATTGGGGTAATTAATTACTGATACCAGTCCACCTTGCACTGTAGATGTGAGTGCAATGACTTGCATCTTCACTTTCATAGTTATCACTTTACTTTTTGTTGCTCAGCAAATAATCTGTGTTTCATTAGTATTGAACAGTTTACTTAGGTTAGCTTTATTTTTAACATTTCCACTTTATACATATCTGAAAACTGTTGATCATTTT